ATGTTGGGCTCACGAGTGTCAGAGAGTCCATAGTTTTCACTTTTCAGGGACAGTATCTTGTCTACGAGCTTGCCAGATACACTCCAGATACCATGGACTGGGACGATGCGGTCGAAATCGATGAGGTGCCACCTCCCCCTGAGCAGCATGCGCATGGCCGAGGCCGAGGCCGAGGCCGCGGCAAAGGGAGAGGGAAGGGTCGCAGCACAGGCGGCGCCAGCGCCGGCACCGCCACTGGCGTCCGAGATAAGTGCTTCGCCGCATCATGCAGAAGCAAGAAGAAGCACAACAGCAAGTTCTGTACTCAACACCACAAGGGCGCGGAGAACTGCAAGAACCAAGCGCAGAAGGATGGCGAGATAGAAACATACAATCAAATCTTCAATGACCCAGTCAAGGCGGATCAGGCTCTGGAGCAGTACGAGAAGGACAACTGCGAGGGTCGGTTCCGCAAGAGACTCATCGATTGGGGCCAGTGGAAAAGGCAGTTCGGCGTCAGAGTCAGCACAAAAGTTCGCAATGTCGAAGAGTGGTTGGACGTAGCAGAATACGTTGACATCAAGACCAAGCACATGCCAGAGGGGGAAGCGAAAGAAGAGGCGAATAAGGTCAAGACCGAGGAGTTCAAGCAAATGTGCAACCAGCCCGGCATCGAGAAGGAGGGCGAGTGGCCTAGCACCCGCATCTGGGTCTACATGAAGAGGCAGAGGACCGGCGATGTCGAAAGGTACATCGACTCCAACTTCGAGGAAGGATCCAAGCAGATGAAGGACTTGACCAAGGCGGACAAAGACAGCCTCAAGCAATATTGCCACACATCAGCCCCTTCAAGCAGCAATGCGTTCCTGTCAGGGACGCTGACAGGGACAGGCGGGTGGGAGGACGACGGAGATCGCGACAGCAAGCCCGTGGCGGAGGTCAAGAAAGAGGACGGTGAGGATGGGCCACCATCTAAGAAGTTGAAGCACGTCGACGTGGCCACAGCGATGCCCAAGGTGAGGACCAAACTCGAGAAGAAGGTCGACAAGGCGCGGCAGGCCGGGGATATCCTGAAGCAGATGATGAAAAAGGCGTTGGATGATGCGGCGCGCATTCCCGACCATGACCAGAACATGAAAAACTACGTCAATGTTGTGAGCATTCGCTTTCAGGCGTTGCAGTTTTGGAGCGGCACGGCACCCTTGGAAGGGCGTTCGGAACAACTCGTGCTGGCCACCCCGACGAAGCCCGAGGTGAAGCCCGAGGAAGAGGGTTCGCAGCAGCCCGAGGAGGACGTGGCCGAAGGGAGACCAACGGCCGAGGTTTCCAAGGAGGTCAAGACAGAAAAAATGCAGGGCACGCCGGCCGTCGAGACCAAAGAGGAGGCCGGCAAAGACGTGCCAGCGCAGTCTCCGCCCTTGAGCAAGGGGATTGGTTCCGCCTCCAGCCACAAGTCGAGTTTGAGCGCCAACTTGGGCGATAAGCAGACCAAAGCCTTGAAAAAGTTCTTGGACGAGAAAGGGATCGCTGGGCAGGTGACTCATGACAACTCGAAGCTGGCGTCCTACAACGAGATGCTCAAGCTAGTGGAGAAGGTTTCATCAGCGGTCACGGCAACAGAGCTCAGCAGCCTCGAAGAGTCAGTCAGTGAGAAGTGCGAGTATTTCAACCAGATGTTGACGTCATTGAGACAGTCAAGTGGAGCTCTTTCTGGGCACATCAAGAATCAAGAGGGGAAGGCTGAGAGGGAGCAGAAAAAGAAGCAGGTGGAGGAGGCGGCCGAGGCTATCAAGAAGTCGAGAGAGGAGACAAAACGTTTGCAGGAGAAGCTGAAGGCTTCCTCGAAGTTGGCGCCGCCTCTGTTCAAGCTGAAATTCGACGAGCTCATAACCCATGGGCTCATCAGGACGGCCCCTGCCGGCAAGGAGCTGAATGACAACACCATCATGGCGCCGCTCCTCATCACGGGCCCGTCTGAGTGGAAGACTGCTTCTGAAGTGGAGATCCTCGCCTTCCAACTTGGGAAGTTCGGCGGCAGCTACAAGAG